TAATTTATATTTTATTAATAATAGATAATGTTTCTATTTTACTTTTAAATTATATAATATAAAAGTATATTTTCAAGATAAAAACATAATACATAAGAATAACTACAACTTTTTATATCTTAATTTTAAATTTATAATAAAAAAATATATTTTCAAGACAACAACTTAATACATAATAAATATCTTATTTTCTAAGAATATGATACTATTAATATAAATTTGTTTTAAATATATAATAAATTATATATAAATTATGATAAATTATCAAAATTACTTAAAATCATGGAAAATATGACAAATCAGCAAACATCAAATTCAATTCTTAAATAATAGTATAGATTTTTTACATGTTAATTTTAAATTTTACAATAGAAAAATATATTTTCAAGATAATAATACATAAGAATTAACTTATTTTCGAAAATATAAATTTAATTATTAATAAGATAATTTTTATATCATAGTTTTAAATTTTATAATAGAAAAATATATTTTCAACAAAACAACATAATATATAAGAATTATCTTTTTAAGTTTTATAAATTATGATAAATTATCAAAATTACTTAAAATCATGGAAAATATGACAAATCAGCAAACATCAAATTCAATTCTTAAATAATAGTATAGATTTTTTACATGTTAATTTTAAATTTTACAATAGAAAAATATATTTTCAAGATAATAATACATAAGAATTAGCTTATTTTCGAAAATATAAATTTAATTATTAATAAGATAATTTTTATATCATAATTTTAAATTTTATAATAGAAAAATATATTTTCAACAAAACAACATAATATATAAGAATTATCTTTTTAAGTTTTATATATATAAATATATTTCTAGATAATAAGATAATTCTTAAAATATATTTTTAGATAACAACATAATTCACAAGAATTATCTTATTTTCTAAAATATAATATATTCATATAAATTCGTTTTATTTATAGATAAATTATATATAATATTATAAATATGATAAATAAGCAAATTACCTATAATCAAGGAGAACATGACAACTAAGCAAATTTACTTCTTAAATAATAGTATAGATACGAAATTAACCCCTACTTAAATAAATAATTTACTTTAATTAAAAGAGTAATCATATTTTTCTTATTAAAAAAAAGTAAAATAACTTTTATAGTTAAAAATAGAAAAAACCCTAAAACTTACTTGTGTCGTTTCTTCACTCTTTCTACCTTTAAAAAACAAGGATGAAGCTTTGGTGGTTTCCGGCGCTCTCTAACACTCGCTCAGGCGCTTTCCGGCACTTTCTCGTCGTATATCATTTGGGTTTTCTTCTTTGTTCTAGTTCTTTTTATGTAATCGTTTATAACAGATTCTTCGGTCCACCGTAAATTTTCAATGCTATTTAATGTAGATTTTCGTCCAAAAAAAACAATTTGATTAAAAATAGTTAAGATTACTTTCTAAATTTTCTCAGATTTAAAAACATGAAATAACCAAAAATATATAATACATATTCTAAACCGGATAGAACAAAGACTAAAAGGTTTTAATAAAAATTCTAATCTTTTTAAAACATGTGATAAAAATAAGAACAAGATATTCTATCTGCGATAGATGATATAATATAAGATAGCACAGAGGTAAACGTTTTCTAGATTTTTCACAATGAAGTAAAAATCCTAGAATATATATTGTATGTTAGAAATAGCAAAGTGTTTTAGTTAGAATTGAGACATATGTATTTCATATTGAGATAGATCAGGCAGGCTGAACTCTAGGCGACGGCTAGGAAAGATGTGAGTTTAGAATACGAATACTAAATTTTATAAAATGTTGAAAGCAAGTTAGAATGTATATTGTATCCTTGTAATTAGAGTTATAATATACATTTAACAAATTTAGATCAACAAATCCAAATTCATTTTTGAAAATTAATTTTCTATATCAAAATGTATAAAATATCATGATTGTACTGAATTTTTCATCTTTTTATATTTTGTATTAATCTTAACTATTATTTTTTATTATTATAAGGGTATTTATGTCCAAAATTAACTAATTGTTGCAAAGTATTAAGGGAATACAAACATTCTCAATCTGGTCCATTTTTCTAATTTCCCAAAAAAAGACATTTCATACCTTTTTTCTTTTCGTGAAAACAAATAATTTTTATTCATTCCGCTTGATTATCTAGATCATTTCGTATATAAATAACATAGATACTTGAAAAAATATTCTATTTATGTTTTCAAATTTCTTTCGGTTACATTTAGAGCGAGATTAATGTATAAGTTATCCTATAGAAAAAGAAAGAAAGAATTAATATCAAAATAAAAACTTATAATGTGTTTACTTTAGACCATCTCCTTAGCATACCTTCCAAAGGGTGACTCAAATACAACAGAGTGATGATATATGATTGCGTATTACCTTCTCAATGATCCCAGTGAGCTTGTCAACCGGCAACCAAGTTGATGTGTTCAAATCACACTAGAATCATTCTCTTAAGTAAAGATCAATTATAGTATTTAAAGATTGTATCCACAATAGTTCAATATTTTACATAATAGATTTGAGCTTCAAACTAAACTAGATTAAATAATAGATTAACAGTAAATCAAGTAGTAAATAATAGAAGTTGTAAAACATACGGAGGAAAGGTAATAGACTTAGGGTTTCATTCAGGTTATCGAAACTCAAATCTATTGATGCTAAAGGTTTGATCCTAGAACTCGAATGCAATCGTAAGATATCCAGTTCTTGCTACGAGTTTAATCAGATGTCTAAATCCTATATTCCAGCTCTTGCATGTGAATAAGGAACAATATCGATCGATACTTCTTTTGACAAGTATAAAGCTCAGATCAATATGTTCACTAAGTAATTAAACCAGCTCTCGCCTACGCTTAACAACCTAGCTCAAGCATTATTATATTCACTAGATCCTTTTTCCGCGCTACGCGCGGATAACATGTTTTGAAAATTTTCAACTTTTACATGTTTATAAATTGTTGTATTTGACATAACATCTTTTTATAAAGTTGAATAGTCAATTTGGAATTATTGTGTTGTTTGAATATCAAAATTGTATTAAAAAATAACAGAATTAAAAATTGCCTGTAAACACAATAAATCCAAGTAGTTGTGAGTATCTGAATAATAAACGAATTGATGGTTTGAAAGCGTCTTGGCTTTTGAGTTTTACCATGTGAGTTTTGATGGTATGAACTCGATCTTCACTTAATAATTTAGCTTGATCTCTTACTCGTCCTTTCAAATGCTTTATGCATTTGATAGATTTGTTGAAGTAGAATTTTGTTGTTGGTGATGAATTGAGTTGTAGTTTGCCTGCAAATTATTGTACCTTTTTTTAGGATAAAAATATATTCTCAAATTAATATTTTTTTTTAAAAAATAGTTACCTTTTTAATTTTAGGAATTATGCTTGTGAAGATGACAAAAGAAGGATATGTTAATTAATTATTTTACATTGAGTTATGTTTATATTTCTGGTTAGAATTTATTTTTTATTTATTAGTGTTATAGTTATTAAAAGTTTCAATATTTAAAATCCAATATTTTGAAAAAAATGTTGATTTATATTTGTGGCAAAAAAAATTAACTTTAAAAATTATTTTAGGCCTACCGTTAGTCAACTATAACGGTTGACTAATGATATGACTAAATTAGTATGGTCAAAGAAAGTTTATGGTTAAAATGACTTGTCAACAAAATTTGAGTGTTTTTTTTGTTTATAAGAAAGTTGGTGTTTTATATCAACAAAATTTGAAAGTTGATGATTTAAATGACAATTTTCCCAAATAAATATATACATAAATTTAATAATAATTAAAACCCCCCCAAAAAAATTGCAAGTGTGAAAGGTTTGTGAGGATGGATTTTAAAAATCATGTCTTGTTAATTTATCAGTTCATCTTCATTTAAAATTTCAACAATTTAATAATGTGAAGTGAAGAGTAGTTTCCATCTTCATATGATTATGTGTTTTGCGTTGTCTAAATCACTTTGATTTTCTCATAGTCTTGATGATTGAGGTCTTGCTTAATCATCGCTCGTGCATTTAACAAACTTGGTGACTTTCTAAATGTGTATTCAATAACTATTGCATTGAATATATATACTGTTGTAAGATGTTATCGGGCTG